CTCCAGATTGAGTGCCAGGATAGCTCCAAAGCTACACAGAGAAACCCTGTCTCGAAAAACCAATAAATAAATAAATAAATAAATAAATAAATAGCAAAGTTTCATTATGATCACTTTAGAAACTGAAAGACACGGGTTACGATTTACATTCACTTTTAAGAATGTATAATTGGCTCAGGTGCAGGCCGCACCAGTCAAGAGAACAGAGACCCCCTGCTGTACCTAAAGCAAGCTAGCCACCAGAAGTCCAGCTCCCAACTTGGACCCGGGTTCCTACTGAATCAGAGGTCACACCGGCTGCTAGAAATCCAGAAGATAAGAAGACCAAAGATGAAACAGAAACCAAGGAACAAAACACCCATCTAACAAAGACAAACTCATAAATCAGCACTTAGACCTATAATCATCCCAAACCAAGACACCTAAATGGCAGTGTAAGGACACAATCAACAACAGAAAGTCAAGCTATCCTACAACAGCAAGACCTAAATATTCCAACACAACTGTAGCACAAGAAAATGACCTTAAAGTCAACTTTATGAAGATGATAGAGGTCCTTAAAGAGGAAATAAAAAAAATACCTTAAAGAAATTGAGGAAAAAATAGGCAAAAAGTTGGAGGAAATTGATAAATCCATTAAAGTATGTCAAGAAAGCCAAGAAAAAACAAACAGGTGAAGAAAACAGTTCAAGACCTAAAAATTCAAATAGAAGCAGTAAAGAAAACACAAACTGAGGGAATTCTGAAAATAGAAAATCTGGGTAAGCAAACAGAAATGGCAGAAGAAAGCATCACCAACAGAATATAAGAGATAGAAGAGAGAATCCCAGGCATTGAAGAAATATATTCATCAGTCAAAGAAAATGTTAAATCTAAAAAAATTCCTGACACCAAACATCCAAGAAATCTGGGACACTGTGAAAAGACCAAACCTAAGAATAACAGGAATAGAAAGAGAAGAATCCCACCTCAAAACCACAGAAAACATATTTAACAAAAGCATAAGAAAATTTTCCTACCTAAAGAAGAACATGCCTAAAAAGGTACAAGAAGCTTACAGAACACCAAATAGACTGGACCAGAAGAGAAAGTCCCTGTATCATATAATAATCAAAACACTAAACATACAGAACAAATAAAGGATATTAAAACCTGTAAGAGAAAAGGCCAAGTAACTCGTAAAGGCAGACCTATTAGAAGTACAACACATTATTCAATGGAGACTATAAAAGCCAGAAGGGCCTGGACAGATGTCTTGAAGACTCTAAGAAACCATGAATGCCAACCCAGATTACTATACCCAGCAAACCTTTCAATCACCATAGATATAGAAAATAAGATATTATATGACAAGGTCAAATTTAAACACTATCTATCCACAAATTCAGGCCTACAAAAAGTACTAGAAGGAAAACTCCAACCCAAATAAGTTAACTACACTCACAAAACATGGCGATAAATAATCTCACCAGCAAAACCCAAAGGGAACCCCCCCTCTCCACCACCACCACCAAAATAGCAGAAATTAACAATCATTGGTTATTAATATCTCTCAATATCAATGAACTCAGTTTTCCAATAAAAAAAAAAAGCACAGGCTAACAGACTGAAAAAAAAAACAGGATCCATCCTTCTGCTGCATACAGGAAACATACCTAGTGTAATGGAAATTCAATGGAATCTATGAAAGTAACCCTAGCAAAGCCTCCTAGTAATGGGGGACACAGAGCCTGAACAGGTCATCTTCTGTAACCAGGTAAGGCCTCAAGTAGAGGGATGGGACATCAACCTAACCACAAAATCTGACCTACAGTTTGTCCTGCCTGCAGAGTGTTCTGGGACCAGAGCCTAGCACAACTGTCATCAAAGAGACCAGAGAGACTTCATCCAGCAACTGATGGGAGCAGAAGCAGAGACTCACATTAAAACATTAGGCAGATCTTGGGGAGTTCTCCAGAGAGGGGGAGAAGAATTGCAGGAACCAGAGGAGGCAGTAACACCATGAGAACAAGGCCCACAGAATCAACTGACCAGGAAACACAGGGGTTTATATGGATCAGGGAGCCTATAGGGGTCTGACCTAAAGCCTCTGTATATATGTTAGAGCTGAGTAACTTGATGCTCTTGTGGGATTCCTAACAGTGGGAGCGGGGTCTATCTCTGACTCTTTTGCCTGCTTATGGGACCCTTTTCCTCCTACTGGGTCACCTCATTCAGCCTTGATATGATGGTAAGTGCCTGGTATTTATTATTGTAGCATATTATGTTAAGTTTGGTTATGTTTTGTCGATATCCCTGGGAGGCCTGCTCTTTTCTTAGGGGAGATGGGGGCTAGGTCTAGGGAGAGAAGAGGTGGAGAGGAAAAACTGGGGGAAGGAGAGGGAGAGGAAACTGAGGTCTGGAACTAATAGATGTGAGAATAATAAAAAGTATAATCACTAGACATTAATTTTATTGTAATTTTATTTATATACTGTTAAATATAAAGTATGTATCATAAAATTTAAGTTATAGGATAGTAAGAAGCAATTATTTATTTTGTCCTTACATTAAAGTGGCTTGGTACAACCCCTTATAGATACTAGGCTCTCAAATACTACAGCCAAAATGATGGCAGAATCCTAATTTTGGTCACCTTACTAGCTACAACATTTGTACTGGAATAGTCTTGAAAAATGATCAAAGACTACTAGGTGGTGGTGGTACCTAACCCTAACCCAGAGGCAGAGGCAAGGGGATCTCTGAGTATGAGGCCAGCCCAGTCTAGAGGGAGGCTCCAGGGCAGCCAGAGCTACACAGAGAAACCCATCTCAAAACACCACCCTCCTTTCACCCCCCCACCAATGATCAAAGAAGTAAACAACTAGTTATTAAAAGTATCAGTCCTATTTGACTCGTTTGATTAAACTGATTTACAGCTGGCATTTTGCTCATCTTTGAAATGCATCAATAAACCATTCCTACCTAGAGAAGAATAAACTACTTCCAAATCTTCAATTTCCTCATCTATTCAACACCAGCCCTGTTTTACTGCACAGGGTCACTGCTAAGTGAGAGTATGCTGAAACACTGTCAAAAAGTGTAATGGAAACATTGTTACTTTTTGTTGTTGTTTTTTGAAATAGTTTCTACCGCTGTCCAGGAATTCACTTTGTAGACCACAGTGGCCTACAATTCGCAGATCTGCTTGCCGCTGCCTCCTGAGTGCTGAGATTAAAGGTGTGTACCATCATCACTTGGCTGTTAATTTTTTTGAATTGCAGATAGAGCCAATCTGACAGAGTGAGGTTAGGAATCATACATGAGTAAGTTCATAAATTTAAAGTCTGGGTTTTATCACTTAATAGCTACATGATTCTGAGTCAATTACATTCTCAAGAAAAATGGGCATACTAAACCTGCCTTAAATGGCTGCTATAGTATTATAGATAATATATGTAAAGTGGTTAATGTCATGTATTTAAATTTTTGATAAATCACTTGTGACTTAAAATGAGATAATGTTTAAGAATACAAAATATATTCTTTTTTAAAAATATTTATTTACTATGCATACAGTGTTCTGTCTGCTCACCAGCAGAGGAAGCAGATCTCATTACAGATGGTTGTGAGCCATTATGTGGTTGCTGGGAATTGAACTCAAGATCTCTGGAAGAACAGTTAGGTCTCTTAACCTTTGAGCCATCTCTCCATCCCACAAAATATATTCTTACAAAAGGAACTGATTATCTATAAATGGTAGTCAACTGAAGTAACACTGTTGAATAATTAAAATGGAAAATAATCCTTTGCCAGGACCAAGCATGCAATGCCTAATTTCTGCCTGTGTTAGTTACTGTTCTTTTTATGTTAGACAAAAGACACTGTCAAAGCTGATAATAAAAACCATTAGTAATTGAAGAAATAAACTAGTAATCTTCAATTTGTACCAAAACTTAGATGGGTATAGTTCAGAAAAGAAAGACCATTTGTTTTAGTATGAATCTTTCAAAAAGAATTATTTCTCTCAAAGGAAGGTCAGATTCCAAATGTAGAACTTGAGCATAATTGAGTAGAGTAGGGGGAATAGCTCAGAAGTATAGTGGAGGCTCAATATATGCACATGCACAGGCACACATGCACTTGCACACACAGCAAAGAAAATAAACAATATGTAACAAGCTAACAGTTTAGTATTTCTGCTTTTAACTTACTGCTTCCCAGATTTCAAATGAATGTGACAAAGCAGTGACTAATAACTCACTGTCAAACAGTTTACTTTGTCAAATAGCTAGATTAAACAATTCACATTGGGACCAGAACACTAATCTCAAGTTTTTCTTCTCTATAAATTCCTTAAAAAAACAACTTCCCTCTGCTTTTCTTCAGAGGGCCACATTTCCCACTTGATTTATGTTTCTTAGCAAATGGAATCAAAAGCTTCACAAGCAAGAGTGATCAGCATTCATTTAGCCCAAATCCACTATGCTATGGGCATGGACTCTCCCTGGCAGCCTAAGAACTCAGGTGGTTAGTCCACCACATCCTCATCTGCTAACTTACAACATTCCTCTCTCCAGAGAGCATTCTCACCTCTGAGTTTCTGTGGCCACAGGCCAGTTTTCATTCTTTCTTCCAGCTTAGTTTATTACCTCAATAATTCAAAAGAAAGGAACTTAAATGACAAACTGCACTATGCTGACACAGGGCACATCCCTCAGTGTTATCTAAGAGTCTTTGAGCTTCAATGTGCTAAACTTTTGTATTAAATGAGCATTAGACCCAGAAGAAAACTTACAATGAAGGCAAAGATTGATGGAAAAAAAGTGTGGTCAAGTTATTTTCATGATACAGTAACTGATATAAAAATGTGATACACTTTGACACACAGGACCATATGTGACACCTTGGGATTGATTATCCAGAGCATTAACTATCACTGCTATGATGGCAGAGCTTTTCAGTTCTGAAAATTAAACATTTTATTAGTAATTTAAAATTACCTAAATACACTTACGTACATTTTTGAATAGTTGCTCAGCAAGTTCTCTGATGTGCTTTATCATCTTCAGTGGGTTATTTTCTTCAACTTTAATTCTCTCTACTTCAAAAGCTACCAACTTGGAAAAAGAGTCAGATGGCAATAATCAGTATCCAAATACACTGAATTTAAAAACTGGATTTTCATACAATATGCAAACTAAAAGCTATCTAAAAGTACATGTTATTTTAAAAATAAATTACTTTGGATTTGTACTGGGTTTCACCTCTATCCCAGGATGACAAAGGCTTATCAAATCCATGGCTTGCCAGGTTTCTACTCAGTGACTCCTAAGGAACAGTCATTTATGAGTGCAGAGAAGCCTTTCATCCTATAGGCCTCACTCATGATAATTCACTTACTTTGAAAAATTCAGAAATCAAGAAAGACTCCAAGTATTTTTTTTAACTTACAAATATGAAAAAATAATTCATGCTGTGCTGACTGGACTTTATGGACAGTATGATCTGGGTTCAGATTCCTCATCTTTAAGTGAAGATGGAACAGTAGGATGCCATTTAGACTCCTTTCAGTTCTCAAATGATATATATGGAATTGATCTCCCTATTAACTAGTTTGTTAAGACAATTGTGTGGGAGTATGTACTTCCTGTAGAGGACTGACATGAAAAGAAATGTAGGAGAGTAAACAGGTGAGAAGGGAAAGGAACTAGAGTTCCTTCCTTCCAGGAAAGCAAAGACAGCGCATAGACTAATATTGCTATTAATAAAGTTTCAGAGACCAGTTAGAAAAGGACTTTGACTACAGAAACCATCAACCATTGAGTACTTAATTAGGAACCTAAAGGTTGATATAAATGTTGGTTTGATCAAAGGCTAGTCACATTAACTGTTATTAACAGGGAACCAAAGCTCAGTAAGTACCTACAAACAGCTGTGCAAGTCAGGGTACTGTGCCTTACAGCTACATGTGCTCATTACTAAGTGAGGCCCAAGTGTAGGTCTTTATCCAGAACAGAAGCTCTGCTTCCCTTCTCTTACCTGTGAGTACTTAACTATCTTTACAAATTATAAAAGACCCATCTCAAACAAACAAACAAACGAACAAACAAACAAACAAAAAACTTTGTTCCTACTTTCTTTTCACAAGATAAGCCACCAGTGGTAAAGGGTTGAACAGAGCCTTCTTGGATTGTAAGATTGACTTTCTTTGATGGACATCAGGAACTTTAAAATTTATTGGTTCCAATACACTGATATTTCAGAAACTGAAATAAAAATGATATTCACTTCCCTGTGTCCATAATATACTGCTGTGAGTATAGAATAAAATGATAAATGGAAATGTATTTTTAAAAAAGAGAAAGCGTAATAAATGTAAAATACTACTTATTCATTTATTCTATTTCTCCCTTTACATTTAGCCAAATCTTTAAAAAGATAAAAACTATATATCTGTCCCAAGTAGTTCTACTAAGGTATCGAGAAAATAGTAATTATTAGTAGGAATACTATAAATTTAAATTACGGCTCTATGACATTGGTGGACTAAACATAACTGCAAATTAGAGTCAAGTATCTGTGCATCCAGTTAAACCCAGTTGCAGACTGACAACTACTGAACAACTGGATTTCAAAAATGAGTTTTATTTATATAAACACTGTCCAATTATCAAAAAGATCTAAGAAGCTATTCATTCTTAGTTATTCAAAATCTTTATGTAGTTCTGAAACATTCTATAATTTTCTCAATTCACATTATAAATATCAAGGTTTGATACACATAATATTTAGGTTAGTTAATGGTTAATTTACATTGTTTATGAATGAGTAAATGTTAAAGTGATGGTTTTTGTTTTAACTATTAGTCATTGATAAGAACTATACCTCATCAAAGAGATCACAGGCTCTATATGGAGGCCCTCTTTCTGAAACAAAACCTGCAAATGCCATTCCATTGAGCACTTTAGTGAGGAAATCATTCTCAACCAAGCCACGCTGCCCCAAGAAAGCTGTCTGTAAAGAAACAAATGTGAAATGATAATGTATCACTGGGAAATGAATAAATAGCTAAAATAAAAATGGAAAGAATGAAAACTGCTTGAATGCTTTCAGGTATATCTAAACATTGTCATGAAACATATTTCTTTCAAAGGGTTTTGTCTAATACCTGAAATACTACAAGTATTGGAAAAATAAAAATTAATACATCTAAAAGGAGGAAAAAAAGTCAGGTATTAATATTCAACTTAATAAGAGAAATATCAATTTTAAGTTTACAGATTCTGAAGGAAAATATTCAACCAACTCTATGTGTTACATAACACATTTAATCACATTCAAAAAACTAATTCAATACACATGGCTAAGAGAGTGGTTCTTTTAAGTGAGTCCACTTGACAGACAACCTGACATTGTGTCTTACTTTGTGAAAATGGATCACAGGTTCAGCATGGATCCGTATAAGCTGGAGGCATGACCTATATCCTTGGAACAGTTGTGCAAATAGCCTAAGGAAAACTGCTCGTACTTCTTTATCCTGGAAATGTAAAAAGAAACACACAGGTAATTTAATTAAAACAACAACAACAACAACAAATTAAGTTAAACAGAGAGAGAGAAGAAAGTTTGAGTGAGCAAGTGTGCTGTGCTTCCAATATTGTCTCCCTAAGCAGCATACACAGACGTATCAGAGTCTACCTATTCCTGGGTGAAATGGTTGGTTTGTTCTTTCTACTGAACTAAATAAAATTTGATTCTAGTACATACAGTTTTCTTCCAGAGGAAAAATAAATACCAGAGTTTTCTCTTTTACTGTGTCAGAGGAAGGAATATATGCCATGACCTTTGATTATTCTATATGCAAAAAATTATAGTTACAAATATAAAAGGGAAACACTCTCAAAAGATTATATATTAAAGGCTCATGAAAGTCTTCCAAGATTTATCTAAATTATAAAACCTATTCTAATGAAATATGACTTAAAAAGTAAGTCTTTCCAATCCATGTTTTAATAGAAAAAGTTTTAAAACCATTAAAGAAAATTCCATATTTATTCAATATGGAATTCAATATTCAATACTTATTTAACAGATAAAGAAATCAAGGTCAATAATGCTTACATCATTTTTCAAAGGACCACAGCTCTGCAAGGTCTCCTACTGGTCACACATTCACCTCTAAGACATGAACTGGGCAAAATAAAAAAGGGGTGTCTGCTATTCTTCCATTCTTTTATGACTGCTAATCCAAATACATTTTGGCATACTTACTCCTGAAACCTGACTCTCTCATTGTTTCATTTTTCTGAGTATCCCTCACCTCATTGCAGATGTAGCTCAGTGATACAGCATGTGGATAGCATGAGTAAGGCACCTGGTTTGATACAAAGCACTACAAAACAGAAGTAGTTTTCCAGGCTATATCAGAGGCATTGACTTCTTTGCTACTTTTGCCTCCTAAAAAAAGTCAAATCCCCTCTCCTGTAACACCTTCCTAGGGACAGAAGACTTCTAATTTCTATTTGGGGTACTTCTGACTAAGGCACTTCAGCAAACCTAAAAATAAAAGTACAGCACCCCTTTAAAGTATCGAATTTGAATATTAAATTTCTTACCAGCATTTTTGAGTGGGATAAAGCTGTTCGTGGAGGAGGGAAAGCATGATCTGCTACTTCCAAATCAGGGTGCAAAATCTAAAGAAAACAAGTTTATTATGTATCTAGGATTAATAAGACTAGCTCTTTAGTTTATTTGAGGCATTAAGTGAACTATCAGTATATGAGTTAGATTATATTCCCTTCATGTGATACAAATCACTTAATTGATACAGCTTTGCATGTATTGTTGTGGAAAGATCTTGAAGACAAACATTATGTTAGAAAAGGGGCTAGAGGGATGGCTCAGGGGTTAAGAGGACTTGCTGTTTTTGTAGATGACCAAGGTACAATTCCCGGCAACCACATGATGGCTCATAACTAATTGTAATTCCAATTACATGAGTTCCAGGGGCTTTGACACCTTCTTCTGGTAGGTACACATGTGGCATGAAGACAAAATACCCATACAAATGGAATAAAATATTACAAATAAGACCAACTAGAAAAAGTCATACAGCATTGTCTCATTTATTTGAAAATAATAAATAAATTTACACAGAGATAAACATATATCTGAATAAGTACAGTTCTCAAAGAGCATATACCAAGTTATAAAAGAGAAGCTACTACTGGGAAGTGACCAGTTGGGAGCAGTGCTACATAGCCATGTGGCTACTTCTTAAAAGAGGTTCATTTTACATCTTGTAATCTAAAAACTAAATGGATGAGATAGAATAGAGAGCCCAGAAATAACATTACACAGCTACAAACACATTATTTTTGACATAAGTGTCAAAAACATGTATTATAGAAAAGACAACTTCTTTAACAAATGGTGCTGGGAAAATGACACACACATGTCACAGAATGATGTTACACCTCTCTCTGTCTTATCCTGTAAGAAAAAATTCAAAATGAACTAAAAAAAACCCATAATATAAGACCTGAAAGTTTGCAACTTTTAGAAGAAAACATGAAAAATACTTCAAGATCTACTCACAGGCATAAAAATCTTCTGAAGAAGGCTCCAGTGGCTCAGGGGAACCAATAAATGGTACTACATAAAATAAAACCATGAGAAGAGAGAAGAGGCAGCCTACAGAATTAAGAGAAAACCTTTGCCAACTACATAGTGGATCAGGAAGTCATATTGCAAATATATAAACTACTCAAGTGTTAAAAGCCAATAAAACAAATCATCTAATCAATAAATGGGTCAATAATTTAGTTTGCAAAAGAATAGTTCAAATGGCTAGTAAATATTTGAAAAAGAATGTGCAACATCCTTAGCAATCAGAGAAACAAAACTTAAAACTATACTGAGATTCCATCTCCTTCAAAGTCAGAATGACTGTCAACAGGACAACAAATGCTGGCATAGCCATGGGTAAGGCGGAACTTCAAACACCACTGAGAAGAGTGCAAACTGTTGCAACCTCTATGAAATCAGTATGGAAGGTTATCAAAAAAGTGAAACAGCAAAACAAAACCCCACCACCTGACATATCTATACCACACGTAAAAGAAACTAGATCAGCAAACCACTGAAATAGGCATACCCATGTTTACTGCATCACTAGTCTACACAGAGTAATAGAAATGGGTTAATAATTAAGGGAGAGCTAGCCAATAAGAAGCCTGAGCCATCAGCCAAACAGTTTATAATTAATATAAGCCTCAGTGTTTTTATTTGGGACTAAAAGTCTGCAGGACCAGGCAGAACAGAAACTTTGTCTTCACTAATCAAAATGACCAAGATATGGAACCAGTCCAGATTCCTATCAATGAATAAATAAAGAAAATGTGTTACACAATTTTACTAACTGGAATGTATCAAAGTGTGATAATTGAAAACCTATTTTGTATGCTAACAAAAATTAATTCATAAATGTTTAAAGGGGAGGCTGGAGAAATAGCTCAGTAATTAAGACACTTGCTGCTCTTCCAGAGGATCTGGGTTTGGTTCCCAGTACCTACATTATGGCTTACAACCACCTACAACTACAGTTTGGATACCTTCTGGCCTCCTCAGTCATTGGACACATATGGTGTACTTACATGCAAGCAAATAATTCATACCCACACAATAAAAATGAAAAAATATTTTTAACGTACACTGAAAAAATAAAAGTAGAAAACATAGCAAACTAATTAATTGAAATACTCAGGGAAGGAAGAAGCTCTTGAGCTTTGCATTTCAGAAGAGTATAGACTGTAATGAACCTATGAATAGTAACATGAGAAATACAAAATGTAACTACCAAGAAAAGCTAAAGAAAAATGTTAACATTTGAGTTTGGCTTTGTGTAGTGGAATATTTGTTTACATTGTGGAGATGTGTCACTGTGATTGGTTTAATAAAGAGCCGAATGGCCAATAGCTAGGCAGAGGAGAATAGGTGGGATACTGGGCAGAGGGAGGAACTTGGAATGAATCTAGGTGGTGCACAAGAGATGCCAACAAGAGACTGAAGGAGCTGGACATACAGTGAAGAGGAGAGAGCCATGTGGCAGAATGTAGGTAGATTAATAGGAACTGGTTAATTTGAGTTAAAAAAGCTAGTTGTGGAAAAGCCTAAGCTAAGATCAAGCTTTCATAATTAATAATAAGTTTCTGTGTTGTTATTTGTGAGCTGGCAGCCTAAAGGAAGGTGCCCAATGTCCAGCTATGTATATCCACATAAGGCCTGAGAAAACTGGAAAAAAATTTCCGAACATGGAGTCAGACATGGCTTTCAGACAACATTGATCTCTCAGTTGTTGCAGACTCGGTACTTGCAGCATGTGGAGGTGCAGCCCCTTTAATATAGCCAAGCACTTAAGCAACCTGTGTGCTATTGGGGCTGGAGACTAGATAAAAATGTCTACCACAGCTTGGACATAGCAGCTTTCAGAGCAGGGCCAGTTAGGACCAGCGTGGGAGGGTGGGGGCTGGGGGAGGCTGCACGGCAGAGGGCCTAGCTGCTAACTAGCATTTTAAGCTTTGGCTCATAGTAAAGCCAGGTCCAGACTGAATAAACAGGTACAGAATGCTAAAGAAAGAAAACAAAATAAGTATAGACAGGCATAGAAAATAAATAAATAGTTTACAAATAATAAATTGAAGTCTTTAAAGAAAGAGTACGTAATATAAAAAAAAAAATAGGCCACATAAGGCTGGGAAATACACAGTGTGCCTGGATCCGGTATGTTGCTTTGTTGACTTTAAGGCTTTTGACATGAGCTAAAGACAAATGAGTCTGAGAGACACTGGATTGTAGAAAAAAATTGCTAAATTAAATCAACCTATACATTTAAAAATTGTCTTAATTTCATAATGGAAGTCAGGAAATATATTGTGTTAGGGGAGAGGTTATGCCTTTGTTTCCACAGGAAATGAAAAGCTATGGGGTTTTCAAAGTTAATATAGATCAGATTTGATTGGGAGAGACCTCCTGAAAATCTTGGCTATAAACATGAAGGAAGAAACCAAGAAAATCTACAAAACAGGTGACATATATGCTGATTCCTCTACATGGGAACAGCTCCGAGACTGGATGAGACATGATACATCTTGTTGGCTACAGAGTCCTCAATTACATGCCATCCTTTCATATGACACAGATGAAGATTTACATTACAATTTGGTTATACAGTCCAAACAGACTTAAAAAGTTGTGAGACATCTTTTACTGCTAAAACACAGAGCAGAGAATCTTCTTTAGCTGACTTGCACACACTACACAATTCCACACTTGCGCCAATGCAGATATAAAAGTCTGTATATTATCAGAACAAAAGGACCAGACACCAACAAGACAAGTCAAATAGCCAAGGTGATCCAGTCCCACAGAATGCCTCTGTTTCAGTTTCCTCAAAAATCTGCATCTAGGATAATATCAAAGCTGTTAGCTGAGAGGGTCCAAATAAGTATAGACAGCCTCACAGACTACTCTCACCAGGACTTCAGATAAGCCCTGCACTTTCCCATCACGTAAACACTGGACAACAAAGCCAGGCGGTGGTGGTGCATGCCTTTAGTCCCAGAACTCAAGAGGCAGAGGCAGGGGGATCTCTGTGAGTTCAAGGCCAGCCTGGTCTAGAAAGTGAGTTTCAAGACAGGCTCCAAAGGTATACAGAGAAACTCTGTCTTGAAAAACAAAATAAAACATCAACAACAAAAGACTGGACAACAAATGATACAGCTAGCTCTTCTAGGACTTGATCATTATCCCAATTTTCTTGGTGTCTCCTAAAGACACTGTGATGCGTCTCCAGACAACAGGAAGCAGTCCAGAGAACATGATGCTCACATTCCCAAGAGGTCAGGTGGATGGTTTTTGGTTGTTCGGTAGGTTATGAATGTTTGTTATTGTTTAGGGGGCTAGTAGCAAGTTGTTATTGGTCATGGTAATGGAAGAAACGAAGCAAAGGAGATTAGATTCAGGGATCTCAGTCTGAAAAGAATAAAAGGGGGATAAAGGAAAGATAGGCTAAAAGGGTAATTACTGAAACTACTTTTGAACTAAAAAAGCAACTACTAGTCTTAAATATTCTCCACTGGTATGGATTTCTGTATATTGATACAAATTTAAGGGTTTTTTTTTAACATACTATATATATGTTTCTATTCTTGTTTAAGATATTGTACCTATGCAGCTCATCTAAAAAAATACAATGTCTTAGTAAAAAATCAGGTTGATAGTTTGTCATTTATAATAATCAAGCTTGTAGCCATGAGGTATGTTTTCAAGGTTAAAAGGAGATATATTGTAGGTAGACAGATGGTCTCCAAATACTTCAGAGACCTATAGAATATGGCATTTAAGATGTTTTAATAGGGCTGGAGAAATGGCTCGAAGGTTAAGAGCAATAGCTGTTCTTCCAGAGGTCCTGAGTTCAATTCCCAGCAACAATATGGTGGCTCACAACCAACCATAATGAGATCTGGTATGCAGGCATACATGCAGGTGGGACACTGTACACATAATAAATAAATTTTTAAAAAAGATGTTTTAATAACAAAAGCCTTTTCATGACAGTGAGATATGTCTGTTCCTGGCAGGAACAATCTACTTCAGAGAAGAAAATGGGCACTGAAGAACCTCCATATAGATT